GAGGCCTGGCTGCTAGGCCAACCTGGGGGGGGCTCAGGGGGTTAACCAGACAGCCAGGTGCCCAGATGGAGGCTGTGAGAGGGGGTCCCAGGTCCCATGGGAGATAGAGGACCCTGTGCAGAGACAGCTCCCTGGGGATCCTGGCTCAGCCCATCAGTCCCAGGAGAAAAGGGCCTGAGGGATGCCAGGAAGCAGCCTCCCCTCCTCACCCTGAGGATTTCCCAGCCCCAGCAGCAGGAAGTGAGTAACCACCTCTCAAGACCTGATGGCGACAGCCCCAGGGCCAAGGACAGAGTTAGGAAGTGTGGCCAAGCTGATGGGCAGACAGAAGGCTCCTTCCCACCAAACCCGGGGTGCTTGACAGTCTGCCAGGTCCAAGGACCCCACCGCCCACCTCCCAGAGCAGCAAGGAGATGGACAGAGGGATGGAGGAGGGTCTGGCCTTCTCATGTTGCCTCCATTACAGCCTGGAATGCCTCTTCACAGCCCACCTTCTGAGGTCCGCATACCAGGAATAGCAAGGATCTCACTCACCCCCTGCATCGGGGTTGGGGGCGCGGTGGTTTGGGAAAGCCCAGTTGGACAGAAACTATGGGGAAAATCCCCATATCCCAAAGTTAAACAAAAACAGACGAGTTTGTCTTCTGCAGGGTTTCCCAGTGCCTGATACAAATAAGATGCATCTGCACATCCTAGCCATGAAACATGAATTATGTCATTTTGATGATTTCACCTATGAGTAAAACGCCCTGATATTTACACTTAAAACTGACATTGAGCAACAAAAGATACATGGCCAATGCATGCTAATAAGTTAGATTTTTCATGTTTCTTTGCCTGGAACGACATTAAATAGCCAAGAGTGTTATCATGGGGAATGAGGCAGCCCCAGGGTTGGAACACCAGCAGGGCAGGGCAGGAGGCTCTGGGGGCGGGGACCAGAGCCAGGACGGAAGAGCACGAGCGCTCGGGTGAACTCTGTAGGGTTCATAGGTGCGGCTGGTAGTGCCAACCAGTTAAAATGACAAGCTTTGCATGTGTTTTACTATGCATCAAAGTCAGAGCTTACCTTTTGATTCTGCCTACGAGTTTTCCAGGACTGGTCTGTCTGGGCGTGTGTTTGACAGATCAGCCCTTCGCCCAGGGTCTCCTGATCACAGAGAACGGTGAGGGTTGGGGGGCGGGTTGGCTTTCTGGTCTGAACTGTGGCTTTCTGTATAAAAAGCACAGCCCACCCCCAGGGGCCCTCCTGGGTTGGAGCGGGGGGAAGGAGTTGTGAGGATAACAACACTAGGCTCACACACAGATGTTCTAGAACACTGGAGTAGAGGGGCAGCCATTTATAAATATATGCACATACATGTCTATAGCTGGCTTTGGTGCTGTTCTATTTTGTGTGGTCTTTTCTTCACCCCAGAAAGGTTGAATTTTGGGACTTTTTCCCATCAGCCCCATCGACAGGGTGTGTCTTCATTCCATTAACACGTATGCATAGGGTACTTATTATGTACTGGATGATAAACAGACAGGCAATATGTAAAACAGGAGTCCCTGCTCATGGAGTTCACATCCAGCTGCACAGAAGAAACCCCAAGGCTGTGGTCAGGCTCGGTCAGGCTGCTGAATGCAAGCAGGCCCCGCCCCCCAACCAGGCAAAACAGGAAGGGCTGCCGAGTGGCCCCCTAGGGAAGGACAAGGCTTTCCAAGCGAGAGCGAAGGAAGGGAGCTCCAGGCAGAGATTACAGCATGTGCAAAGGTCCAGAGTTAAGCGTGATCTGCTGCATTCAGGAACCTTAGGTGGCTCTGTGGGGCTAACGCTTAGGAGCTGGACCTGAGGCTGGAAAGGCGGCCTGGGCAAGTTCTCACCGTGCCTCACAAAGGGGCCCTGGCTTAACAGGGAAGCCATGAGGGTTGTGTAGAAATAACTTGATCCCCCTCTGGTTCTCTCAGAATGCAGCCGTGCTATTGGCAGGGCCGCACCCTCTCTGAAGGCCCCAGCCAAGCAGATTCAATGGTGAGGAGTATAAGAAGTCGGTGGGTGCAATGATTGTGCTGGAGGGGTTTGGTCAAATTTCCTCATAGCGAAAATGAAGTACAAAAAACATACCAATACAGCTAAAAATTAAAGCAGGTGGTTACTGAATCCATACGGAGCTCCTTTTGAAAAGATCTGGTGCCTCACCCAGGTTCTGCCCCTAAGCAGGCGACTGGCCTCAGTGACAGACAGGCAGATTTACTCACTTCTAACAATGCACAGCCTAGCTATGTGGGTGCCTGATACACGAGTTCATGGGTAGCTGGTTAAGTGGGTGGGTGAGTAGATAAATGGGTGGATGGATGGATGGATAGGTGGATAAGTGGATGGGTGGTTGGGTTAGTGTATGAATGGGTGAGTGGGTTGGTGGATGGATGGATGGATGGATGGATGGATGGTTGGATGGAGAGATGTATGTATATATATGTATGTATGTATGGATGGATGGATGGATGGATGGATTGTTGGATGGATAGGTGGATGGGTTAGTGTATGAATCGGTAGGTGGGTTGGTGGATGTATGATGGATGGATGGATGGATGGATGGATGGATGGATGGGTGGATGGGTTAGTGTATGAATCGGTAGGTGGGTTGGTGGATGAATGATGGATGGATGGATGGATGGATGGATGGTTGGATGGAGAGATGTATGTATATATATGTATGTATGTATGGATGGATGGATGGATGGATGGATGGATGGATGGATGGGTGGATGGGTGGGTGGATGGATGGATGGATGGATGGATGGATGGAAGGATATTTGGATGAATGGGTTGATACACTTGTAGGTGAATGGAAAAGTGGGTAAATGGTAAGATTTAAAGACTTTTTTGATGACAAGACACAACACAATGATAATTGGAGATACGAAAGATCGAACTTTTTGTTACTTTAGTTCCAAATATGTGAAGGCTTCCAGGCAGAGCCACACAAGGGGTTGTACCCAGGTCCAGGGTAGCAACACACTGGAGCTGTAGGGAGCAACTTACCTAAGGCAAGAAGGGTGGGGTTAGCTAGAATTCCCAGGCTCCCTGTGGACTGGCTAATTTGAATAGTTTTTTGAGTTCCAGGGTATCAGGGCTGTCCACAGTTATGTGGCACCTGGCTCCAGGGTGATTAGGTACATAGTGGCCTAGAGTGAGAGAGCCTGACAAGGAAAGGGTCAGATTGTGCCCTTAGCTGCTAAGATAAACTGACCAGCCTTCCAACTGGATCAAAAACTGTATTACAGCAGCATCTGGAAAAGTGTGTAGATGGACGGATGCCTTCTGGAGCACACTCAATAGCATCTACCAAAGCATGAACACTGGATTCAGATACCTGAGGACCTTCGTCTCCTAGACATGGAGCCCGAGAATGTACCAGCTGGGGACTTCACAAGGCCTCTGTTCTGCTGGGTGCTTAGGTCTTCAGTAACTTGACAAAGGCAATAGATCCTCTCAACTGGAAACAGCACACGTGCAATTCTGCACACCATTGTAGATTAGGCTTGTGGACCCCTGGGGGAGCTTCTTTGCAGAGTCCTGTCTCCACCTGGGAAGAGAGAACCCTCAGGTTAAGGACTCCCCTGTGTGGTAGGAAGGGCCGGTACCCTTAGAAGTCAACCGAGGCACCCAGGCTGGGGAGGGACTTTCCAGCCAAGCCAGGCCTGGATCCCAATAAACCATGCTGTGACTCAGTTTCCCTATCCCTATGATTGCTGAGTGGAACCTGATCGCTGTTTGCAGGTGGGGTTCTGACCTTCCTCTCTCTCTCCCCCCGCACCCCTGCCTCCACCATGCCCACTTCATCTGGTCTCTTTTGAAGGAAAGGTTTTAAGGCTGTAAAAAAAAATATATGTGAAAGCCCCTTCACTTTCCAAGTGCTATAGATTGTCAGGAAGTCTCCAGACAAAAGCCAAGGAAGCCAATCAGTGTTGAAGAGGGAAGAAATCATTGCCAAACACCCTCAGATCAGGGGGGCGCAAACCTTACACGTGGCCACAAAACAAGCCAGGGGAAGTCTTCTTTCTCTGAAGTTGTTTCCACATTTCTGCCACAGTCATCTCTTGGGCGGCACGACCACGGTTTACACTGGACTCAGTCATAGAAACAATCACCTGAGGAAAAGAACGATATGAGATAAATGTAGTAGACACACTTAGTCACTTACGGAGCGCACCGGCTCCCTATCTCAATGCCAGAAGGAAGAATATTATTTAGTATTTAGGGGTCACCTGCGACGCATCCGCTTTTCTCAGTCCATCCTTGATGTGACGGAGGAAAGGGACAGCAGGGTGGCTCCGGATACAGACTCTAGCGTCAGGCTGCCTGGGATTCTGTGAGGATTCGCTGAGTTAATCCATCACTGTGCTTAGAAACAGTGCCTGACACGCAGCAAAAGTTAGAGACGTGTCAGGACTGCTGTGAATCCTCACCACACCCCTTGTGACACTTGTCAGGATCTCGGCTCCGCCTCACAGTTCAGAGAGGTTAAGCTACTTTCCCCGAGGCTCTTAGCCAAGGAAGTGAGTACAGGAACCGGGGACCGGGATCCAGGACCAGCTGATTTTGAGCCCTGGACATATTTGCCACCCCGTGGCTCTAAAGAGCAGCCGGTCTGCACAATAGAACACTTCTTGGGCAAACGTGGAAATCTTCCATGTGGCTCGCTGAGCTCTCAAGCCTTACAGGGTAGCTGTAGCCACCTCGGCCTGGCCTCGGCGTGCCTGGGTTCTAGAAACTGTAGCCAGCCTGGCCCTGTCGCTGGGGTAGGAGCGTGGGGCTGGGCTGGAGGTGGAGGGAGGAAGTGCCCAGGAGGGAGATGACATCACCATCCAGCCCTTGAAAGATGAGCTGTTCCCTCCGCCACTCCGGCTCTGCTCTGGCAGCTCCCAGGAGGGGTGGGGACATCGGGCTGCCCGGCCGCACGGAGGGAGCCACTGAGGGGCCCGCGTGGCTTGCTCTCTGGACAAGGTGAGTCCTGGACAGGGGCTGGTCCAGTCGCCTCGCCGTTGCCCGGAGGACAGCAGGTCTGGCACAAAGAGAGAGTCTGCAGGTGAGTGTCACAGGAGCTGATTCCCAGGCTGGGGCTAGAGTCACCTTAGATCCTGGGGGGGAGGGGAGGGAGGGGGGGTTCCCTTCCTTTCTTAGTCCTGGCAAGTAACAAGTAGGGCTCCCAGCAGGAGGAGCGATCTTGTTTGTTCAGGGTTTGTCTTCTCCCTGAATGGAGACAGGCATGTGTGTGTGTGTGTGTGAACAATTTAGTGATCTGATTTCTGCAGATCCTGAGTAGCCGCCTTGGACGTGAGCAGTAAGGAATGAGCGCTGTACAGCAGGGATGGGTGTGGGGTTCAGACTCTGGAACTCGGCTTTTAACTCACAGCTGTGCCGATCGTTGGCCCTGTGTGACCCTGGACACGTTTCTTAACCTCTCTGAGACTCAGCTCCTCTGTCTGCAAAGAACTCTACTTGCTGGCTCCCCGGGTGGCAAGGGTTAAATAAATCAGGCCGCAGAGGGGAGGGGGTTTGTAAACTGCTGTCTAAAGTCCCTCCTGGGCTGGTCCTGTCTGTCCTGGATAGAACTGGGCTCAGAGCATGGGCTTTGCACGGATTGGAGCCCCGGCTCTGATCTCGTCCCCCAGGGAACATTTTTGAGCCAACAGTTTTTCCCCTCGTTTCCTGACATACAGATGACTTGGCAGGGTGGTTACAAAGGTAGAAATGGGCTCGGGCCTGCCTGCGCAGCCCCATGTATGTGGTCGGTGCTCAGTCAGAGCTCCCAGGGGCAGGTGGTTTGCTGAGCCCGGGTTGGGGTGGGCGGTGGGCGTTGCTCTCATGAGCAGGTTAGAATGTGCTTCCCTGAGTCACGGACTGCCTCTGGCTCCCGCCAGCCCACAGGAAGTGGGAGCTGTGGTCCAGATGTGCGGCCACGGGGGGCCCTGGGCCAACCCCACCTCTTATTCCTTCTCTGAAGGAGAGAAGGGCTTGGGCTGGGGGCGGGGTGGGCCACCCCAGAGGGCACTGCCCGATGCCTCTCCTCTGGAGGAAAACCATCTGTGTCCTTCTAGGCCCTGGCAGCCGTGGGGTGATGGCAGCCCCACCGGCTTGAGGAAGGAGTTTGCTGCTTTCCCCTTGTGTCGGGTAGAGAAGGCAGGCAGGTGCGGGGAACAGCCAGGAGAAGTGTTCCGGAAAGGATCGAAAACAAGAATGCTCCTGCGCCATCCCCACCTAGGGTGGTGTCTCAGCTCTGCCCCAAAATTCACAAAAGCTCCGCAATCCTGTGCTCCAAGTCCCTCAGGGTAGGAGTGAAGAAACAGTCTCAGCTCAGGGACATAACCTCAGCCAAGCCTCTCGCTCGCCGTTGGGGGGAAATGTCCCGGCCTCTTTGGGATTCAGGCTCATCACTTACACACAGGGGAAAGTTCATATGACTGAGTCTAGGTATGGGGGGGTACTAAGGACTTGGGCTTAAACCAAATTCAGGAAGATACTGGCCAAGCAGGGACCAAGCAGGGGAAATAGCTGTGCCACATGGTCTCTGCTGAAATAGTGACTGTGTCTGGCTTGAAAGTTCAGAGAGGGTCAGAGGGTAATGCCAAGGATTGGTTTTCAGAAAGACGAATCTTCTCTGTGTGTTCACTGCTGCTTCCCCTGCACAGAAAACCATGTTCAGTGTAACACAGGTTCTGCTCAGTTTTTGCTGGATGACTGGATGGATGGATGGATGGATGGATGGATGGATGGATGGATGGGTGGATGGATGGATAGGTGGATGGGTGGATGGGTGGATGGGTGGTTGGATGGTTGGATGGATGGATGGATGGATGGATGGATGGATGGATAGGTGGATGGGTGGATGGATGGATGGATGGATGGATGGATGGATGGATGGATGGATGGATGGATGGATGGATGGATGGATGGATGGATGGATGGATGGATGGATGGATGGATGGATGGATGGATGGATGGATGGATGGATGGATGGATGGATGGATGGATGGATGGATGGATGGATGGATGGATGGATGGATGGATGGATGGATGGATGGATGGATGGATGGATGGATGGATGGATGGATGGATGGATGGATGGATGGATGGATGGATGGATGGATGGATGGATGGATGGATGGATGGATGGATGGATGGATGGATGGATGGATGGATGGATGGATGGATGGATGGATGGATGGATGGATGGATGGATGGATGGATGGATGGATGGATGGATGGATGGATGGATGGATGGATGGATGGATGGATGGATGGATGGATGGATGGATGGATGGATGGATGGATGGATGGATGGATGGATGGATGGATGGATGGATGGATGGATGGATGGATGGATGGATGGATGGATGGATGGATGGATGGATGGATGGATGGATGGATGGATGGATGGATGGATGGATGGATGGATGGATGGATGGATGGATGGATGGATGGATGGATGGATGGATGGATGGATGGATGGATGGATGGATGGATGGATGGATGGATGGATGGATGGATGGATGGAATTACTAAGTGAAAGACACCCATCTGAAAAGGCTACATACTGTCTGATGTCAATTATATGACATTATGGAAAAGGCAAAGCTAGGGTTGTAAAAAGATCAGTAGTTGTCAGGGCTTAGGGAGAGGCAGTGAAACAAATCTTACAGTGCTGTAATGGTGGTTACATGTCATTATCCATTTGTCCAAACCCATAGAATGTACAATGCCAAGGGAACCTTGTGGACCTTGGGTGATAATGATGTGTCAGTATAGGTATTCATTGTAATAAATGCACCACTCTGGTGGGGGATATTGATCACGGGGGAGGCTGTGGAGGGTCAGGGAATATATGGGAAGTCTCTGTGCTTTCTGCTCAATTTTCCTGTGAACCTAAAACTGCCCCCCAAAATATGGCCTATTTTTTTTTTAAAAGCACACAAGGCAGATACATGTGTTGCTTTGAGGATTCAGAAGGCACTTAGACTACCTCAAGACCATGAGTCAAATGGTCAGAACTTACTAAGATTTGACTCCTCGAGTGCATCACTTCCAACGCCCACCCAGTCTAGGAATCCCCTGGCCTGTGAGTATCTTTCTTAGTGCACATACTTCCAGGGATGGAGAGCTCCCTACTTTACCAGGTAGCCCGCTCCGTCTCAGGAGAGTTCTACTGTTAGGAAGCCCTTCCTTAGACTGGAGCTAACCTCCTGTCTGACTGAGCGATGAGCCACTTCCTATTTCTTGGAGCTGGACTGTTCCCTTCCAGTCCTTATAGGTCCTCTCTGAGCCAAACCCCCACAGCCCCTTAACCAAGACACACTTTCTACTGCAAACCCAAACACTCAGCCACTTCTTTGACTCTGTCAGCACAGGGGGATCTGGGGTTCTGGGGGCTAGGACATTAGGAGCCCCAGCAAAATCATCATAGCACAAAGCAGGGTGGAATACACGCCAGCCCTGGGTTCAAATCTGACTGGTTAGGGGCGCTCGCTGAGCCCGTTTTCTCAGGTGTGACATGGGCATAATGGTTTCTATGTCCGAAGGTGTGACATGGGGATAATGCTTTCTATGTCTGAGGTGTAACTCAGAGGGTGTTGTGTGGTGCAAGCAGGCATCGGGCTCACTGCAGGTGCCCACCTAGCAGAGGGACGGCCTACGGGGGACAAGAGCAGGGTCTGGGACAATCAGAGGTGTGGTCTTTGCCCTGCGGGGGCATCTCAGGGAGTCCCGGGGAGAAGAGCACCCCAGCACACATGTGCTCATGTTCCCTAACGCCTCATCCTTGGTAGTGACAGCAGGAGCCCCATCGTACTTCCCTTCAGGGCTCAAACATTAGGTTTCTACCCCCGTCCCCGCTACCTCCACCCCTGTGGGCCCCCTGACCTCTGGGGCCCGAGGAGCCGCGTCAGGTGGGGCTCAGAGAGCTGGCTTCCAGACCCGGGTCCAAACTCACGGGACAGCAGAGCGACCTCAGGCAAGTCCCGTGGCTTCTCTGGGCCTCACGGGTCCACGTTTGAAAATCAGCGGTACCCGGACCTGACATCCCACAGGATGTCGTACACTGTAGGGTGTCTGTCACTTCAGTGGTGGTTATGGTGCTGATTTGTACCTGTGACCCCGCGGCTCCTCCTCTTTCCTCGGGTCCCCTGAGCCACTGCGGGGCAGGGTGGGCGCTGCCTGACGGGGAGAGACGAGCCACCTCCAAACTCTGCTGTGCGCCCGAGTCCCGTGCAGTTGGGCCCCTCCTCCTGCCACCTGCAGCCCCCCACCCCCACCCCAGGCCTCCAACTCCTAACAGCTGGTGGGCCTGTGTCCACACTTGGGAGACAAACTGCCTTCGCAAAGGGCTTTCCGAGGGGAGCGAACTCGAGGAGAAGTCAGGCCCTGTCCTTGCCACCCTCCCCAGGCCCTTTCTCTTAGTCCCCGCAGCCAGAAGACGTGGGCCCCGAAACCGTGGCACGTGGGGCCCCATCACCGGCCCCTCTGTCTCAAGAACGAGCAGTAATCCTGCCCTGAGAACTGGGAGAGTCCAGACAGCTGCCAGCCCGGCACCTTGGAGGTCGATTTGGGCCTCAGCCTTTAGGACTCGTCACATTGTGCCTCCCTTCCCCACCCAACTGGATCCCCTCGCGGGAAAGGATGGAGCCCAGCGCCGGGTCCCTACTGTGCCCTGGGATGCACCTGCAGGGTGACAGGAGGGGAGGCTCTCTGGGGTCCTTCTGGAGCCCCTTCGATTGTACCTCCGCAGCACGGGCCCTGCCCCCCAGGAAGCCCCAGGGGGAGCGAGGGGTGTTGCCTCTCCGCTGTACCTTGGATAAGCCACCCCCTTTCTGGACGCCCCCACCCACTTTGCCAGTTAGCAATGTGAGGGCCGCAGAAGGGGCCCCTGGGCTCTCTTCTGCCCAGCGGTGTCCAGCGATGAATGGCTAGGATGCGCGAACACGTGGGGGAGATGCCCAGCCGGGCCAGGTGCAAACAGGTGTGCGCGCCTGTACGGGTGCGCTCGGCTGGGACAGCAGCCCGCGGACACGGGGGTCTGCACACATCGTCTGT